GTTCGTGACGTGGACTCAATCGTGATGACACCGCCAGGCCTGGCATCTTGAGCTTGAGGTAGGTATAGTTGGGCACCGCCATGAACTTGGCGTATGCGGCCGCCCAGAATGGCGTGGTAGGCTCCCACTGAATCCGACTACCTCGAAGGTGAGGACTTCCTTCTGCGGTAGTTGGAGGGGTGCCGAAAGCGAGCAGAAGAAGGTCGATGCGCCCGAGGGGTCGCGTCGCCTCCCCGTCCACGATCTTAGTGGAAGGGTGCGACATCGCTTTGGAGCCTCGATCGATCGATCTCCAAGAGCTCCGAGTGTTGGCGTAGAGGATGTTGAGGCCGCCTCCGTCCATCAACACCTTGGACGGTCGGGTGTTGCCGATGATTGGGTCGACAACAGTAGTCTTGTCCCGGATTCGGAACATGGTCAGGGTGGTCATCTTGATCGAAGGTGATTGCCTCTCGAGACCGATCAAAATCTTTGGGGTGGCTACCTTGACCGAGAAGACTTCTCGACGTTCCCTCTTATTGTTGCCGCTGCGCCAAAGGCATGCCTAGGCCCGCCAAGATCATGAAGGCGTTGCGTACTTCGGGGAACCCGTCGTCCTTGTCCTCGTCCCGATCGGCGCCCTTCTGCTTGGCGTCGTCGTCGGGGAGCCCGAGCACAGCATAGTAACGTCGCAGACATGGAGCAATCCTCGAGGGCGTGCTTGACCGGGACCTTGGTGATAAGGGCATGGTTTCTTGAGCATGTCGTCCGAAAGGCCTAGGGCCTTTGGGGCCTCGAGGATTCTTGCGTTCTCTGCCCCGACCAGATCATCCCCATGACCTCCTGCTTCCCTAGGCGCCTTTTTTCTTTCTCTTAGGGAGGTGGGAGGCCAAGGCGTCCGGGGCCTCGTCCTCCGTTTTCCTTTGGCGTCGATGTCGGGGAAGATGGCACCGACGGCCTCCCTGAGCAGCCGGTTGGTGGCGATGTCGAGGAGCGCAGCGCAATGGTGCGTGTACGTTCGACCTAGCTCCGCACAGTGTCCCGCAGGTGGTGCCGGAGAGAAAGCTTCGGACGATCTCCGAAGTCGCCGACGGCCGGGCGACTCGGTGCCTTTGCTTGGAGAAGCGCGGATGAAATCTCGGAGAGACTTCGCCTAGTTTCTGGCGGCAATTCTTAAGGTCCCAGGGAGTTTCCGGGCGTGCGTGCGTGCCTAAAATTTCCCAACGAAGACCCTAACCAAGTCGCGCCCGATCGTGGATCTGTGAGGAGGGAGGTGCTCGAGCCAAAGCCAGCGCCGAGTCGACAAGAGCAGGGAGGTTACGGATGATGAGCGGGTCATCATCCGTGCCACCTAAGCCGGGCGAGCCAGTGATGATCGGCAAGCCGAGTTCGGGGTTGGTCTCACCGCCAGTATTTCGCGAGGTTGGTGGTTGCCGAAAACGGGCCAGAACTGGCGACGACGGATAGCCCTCTTTGAAGACTCAAGGGCAGTGGCTCGGGAGAAGGGCTGCGGTCTTCCTCGGCTTGTCGTGGCGGCTACCTCGGTGCACATGGTAGCCTCGGGCGGGCCCCTCACCGTCGTGGCATCGTCGTCGGCCGACCACCTCGTGGTCTCCCCGCCCCTCGTGTCGATTGTCGAGGCGGTCAAGGAGCACGGGACCTCGCGAGCTATCGGTGCTCGAGCGAGGTTTGGGACGAGCCGAGGCTTCCTGTCCCGCCGAGGTGGTGCCGCAGGCGGGTTCGAGACGCCCTCGTCTTGCCGTCGGGAGGCGTAAACTCTCGGCTTCTTTGAACCGCGGCGGTCTCTAGGAGATCTCGGAGCTCGCCGCAGCGGACCCGCCGCCCCTCCGCGGTAGAAGGCTCGGGCATTGCGCGAACAAAGACGCGCCCAGCTCCCATGACGTTCAGCTAAGCGCGATTGAAGATCGGGGTTGCTCACTCCCTTCGTCGTTATGGATCACGGTGATGCGCGTCGAGGGCCCTCCGTCGGGCTCCCCGCCTTCGCCGCGACCTCATTTCCTGCTTCGAGAGAGTCTCGAAGCCGCTGCAGAAGAAGGAGTTGGTCTTGCTCGACCTTGGCACCGGAGCTCACGGAGCTGTTCTAGGTCTAGGCGCCGAGGTCGCGCAAGAGCGACGTTCTCATTCGTCTTGCGGCGGACGGACGGCGCGTGGAGGTGTGTGCGGCGCCAGCATGGCCGGGCGGAGCGCGAAGGCGACTACTGCCCCTCGTCCTCTTTGCCCGCTCTCGAATCTCTAACCCGACATGAAAACATTCGTGAGTGGGGTCGTGGGTGCCTTTCGTTGTCGAGTCGAGTGGCCCGGCGATGGTCGCTTGCGACCAAGCGGCGCAAAGCCCCAGGGTTGTGGAGTCCGGAAAAATCCACCCCGGGCCATGCCTCGTCCTCGTCCGAGGAGTCGGAGTGGGTGCTCAGGTCGAGAGCGAAGCGCTGGCGGCGTTCCGAGGGGTGCTCGTGAGCGGCAGAGTAAGCGTAGGCGTCTGGCGTGGCGGCATTTCTCAACCCAAAGGGGTATGGGGACGGTGCCGTCTCCAAATTACCTTGCCGGTCGGCTCTTCAGGGAGTGGTGGAGCGGAGCTTGACGATTGGCATCGCCCGCGTGCCACACAGCAAGTTTCCTTTATCCAAGCTCAGGCTAGACAGGGTCCCGACCAGGGACCGTGTGCCCGCGAATGGTCATAGGATATCGGGGGGGGCGTGTCGCCTCGGATTCGCATAAGCGTCCGGGTGGCCTTGTTCGTGCGTGCTTGGCGAGTCTTGGCGAAGCGGCCGCCGGGGCGCCGCCGCCTGCCTGGCTACCGGGCGTAACTTCATCGTTGGTTGGTGGGGCTCGAGGAGTGAGGAGCACCAAGTCGTGCACTCATGCCCTAGAGACATGAACTCTAGGCTCCAACCAAACCACGGTGCTTAGAGACGCAATGGTCGTGCGTGGTCCGCCATCCGGAACTTCTTTGGGATGATGAAACCAACACGCAGCGCCCGCCCCTACCAGCGCACTGGTCGTCGGTGTTTGGACCGGGGTCCTCAACCAACTAGTGAATTTGTTCTGCGTGCTCCCGATCCGGATGGTGATGCCAAGAGACACAAGGTTTATCTTTGGTTCGAGCAATCGAGGCCCTACGTCCGGTCGAGAGATCGATCTTGTATTCCTTGCACCGAGGTGCTCGTAGTAGGGGGTTACAAGCTAAAGGAGAGAAGGAGCTGGTCCTAGGTCTCGGCAAGGTGTCGTGCGGGCCGCTTGAGACGTTGCTCTCAGGCGGCAGGAGTGTGCGTTTGTGTGTGTGTCACAAGGTGTTCCCCCCCCTAAGTGGCCCAAGTCCTCTCCTTTTATAGTTGAAGGGAGGACAAGGACCGTACATGTATTACTATGCGGCGTCGTGCCAATAGGGGTGGCACGTCCGAGCCCCTGTGACCTGTCCTGTGGTGGCGTGGTCGTCGGAGTGGTCCATCCTTGGAGTCTTTGGGGCGGCGTGGTCGTCTCATCGATCCATCACATGCGTCGTGGGAGCCCCGGAATGCCTCGGAGTGGGCCTTGGCGCGCGAACGTGTAAGCCATCGTGGATGATTGTCGGCGCGAGGCCGAGACTTGGTCGGTCTTGAGTGCCGAGGCAGCTTTGATCGTGGGGGGGTCTCGGCGAGCACGAACCCCAAGATCGCCGAGGCCCCGGTGTATGATCAGTGCCGAGGCCTTGAGCGGGCGGCCGATCATGGGTACAGCGTTTGGACATAGTGGTCGGTAATCCCCGTCGTACCCTGTCCCGGCCGGTATGGCGCCGATCGTGAACACATGGTAGGACACGGTGGCGGTAATCCCGTCGTGCTGCTCGTCCCGGCGGTATATGGCGCTAATGTGACCTCGGGTCGCGTCGGCCATCCCGTGGCGTTGAGCCACCGTCCGGCCGAGATTGTGGGAGTGGTTGAAGCATTAATGAGACATGACGAGTTGTCGGGAGGGTCGGCCGAGGCGGAAGCGACGGACCATGGACGAGCCGGCCTCGGCGACACGGAGAATGAGGCCTCGCGCGAGACGGAGATCAGTTTCCTTGCCGAGGCCTCGCGCGAGACGCCTCGCGCGATACGGAGAATGTACCCCTGCCAAGGCCTTCCCTGGAGAGCCTCGGGCGAGACGGAGATGGCGCCCCCTGCCAAGGCTCGGCGCCCCCTGCCGAGGCCTACCTTGGGGAGCCTCGCGCGAGGCGGAGTTTGTTCCGAGACCTCCTGCTCGAGGTTCGAGGCGAGGTGGAGGGGGGCTCGGTCGTGGCAGGTGAGGGGCCCACGGCTTACCTTCTAGCTTTATTTTGATGTTTGCTTGGGGTACCCCGTTCTAAGGTACCCGACACCATGCTCTTGATCAATCCTCAGACATTATCTACATAGCACACTTATATTCAGTATCCTAAGATCCTTGATACCAAGCCCACAAAGCTCCTTCTGACTTTATCCAAGTTTTTTTTGAGACGCTGACTTTATCCAAGTTGTTAATCACAGTTTTGTATAATCGACAAATGGACATATGATAGATGGGGTACTGGTCAGGCTGGCGTTGACCAAAGCAGGCTTAACAACAACTGACATTGTGCCATCCTTTTTGTAGTTTTCTCTTTGAACGGGGCCAATCTATAACATGTCGTAATACTGGGGCTCACAAGTAGAAAAGTTCATGTCTGGCTATTATAAATCTGACACCATTTATCAGTATCATTAACCATTAGAACTCTGTTTTTCCTGTATGAAGTAATATATGAACCATAGAGATCGCCGTGTGTGTTCATGGCTGCACGTGTGCCAGACTTGCAAGGGTTACAATATTTTGTTGATCAGAGTCCATAGCAATTCACATGGCACCACGATAGTCATCCTTCTCCCCCACACGTTAATACAACGGCTCAACGAGACAACCGATACGGAGCACTCTAGCTACTCGTGTAGGCGTATGCGGTATTGCCTATAATTAACGGCTTGTCGCTGTCGGCTTCCAACTTGCATCTCCACCACGTGACCACGTCACGCCGCCATCCGCGCGAGCGCCTCGCCTGCGCGCTCGCCGGTGGACAGCCGGAGCCTCCGGTAGTCGTCGTAGTTGAACGCCTTGTAGCGGCGCGGGTGGTCCGCGTCAACGAACGCCTCCGGGGCGCTCACGCCGTCGTCCTTGGGCGCGAGCAGGAACATGGCGATGGAGATGCGGGGCACGGGCGCGACGCACCGCACCCGGTGCTTCACGTTGTGCAGCCTCCCGTTGCTCCACGCCTGGAGGAAACGCACGAGACGCTCAGCGTCAAAAGGCACGACGCGCCGCGGATTCGGCCACACAGGACTACGGAGACGTGTGGGTACGGTACCGTGCCGACGTCGCCGATGTTGACGACGAAGGAGCCCGCGACGGGGTCCACGGGCACGAACTCGCCGGTGGCGGGGTCCAGCACCTCGAGGCCGCCCACGCACTCGTCCTCCTGGAGCACGGTGAGGAAGCCCGAGTCCGTGTGGGTCTGCACGCCGGAGGAGCCCACCGTCTCCTGCGTGTAGTTGTACCGGTTGATGCGGAACTGGCACGGCCAGTCCTGGAACGAGTGCTCCTCCAGCCCCAGGCTGGAGGCCAGCTCGCCGGCGACGCCAACGATCACGTCGTGCATCTTCTCCGCGTAGGTCTTGACTGTCTCCCTGCGCACCGGATTGCGACCAAATTAGGGGCGGAGACTGCCGACTGCACCTCGGGCCTCGGGGGGAAGGAAAGGACCAAAGAAAAGGCGCGATTTTTCTGTGCGGTGGCACGTGTGAGGTGTGACCAACGGACCTGACGCGGGGCGGCGCCTCGAGGCGCGCGCAGAAGGCGTCGATGTCGGCGGGCGCAGCGGCGTCGAGGAGCCCGAAGGCCTCGTAGAGCGGGTTGGCGGCGCTGGGCGGCACGTAGCCGCTGCCGGGGATGACGTCGGCGTTGCGGCGCTTGGCGTCGTCGGGGAAGTCGAAGAGCGCGCGCGCGGCGGCCTTCATCTCGGCCAGGAGCCCCGCGGGCACGCCGTGGCCAGTCACCCGGAAGCAGCCCAGGCGCTCGCACGCGGCACGCAGCCGCGCGGACTCCTCGGGCGACGAGCCGGCGAGGCGCAGGTCGATCACCGGGATCTCCGCCATCGCCGCTGCGGCCCGCTAGCTGTAGCTGTGCTGTCCCGGACGCGCCGGCCGGGTTCGCTTTGCGTGGGTGGTGCGGGGCGGCGGGATTGGCGGCCTCGCTTGGTGGCGGATTCGGGGCCGTATTTAGAGGCGTGCACGAGCAGCGCGTGCGGGCGCCGCTTGTCGGGCGGACGGCACCGAGACTTGCGCGGCCGCGCGACGAGCTGGCTTCCATGTCGCCGGTTTGGTGAGACAATCGTCCGACACACCACGCGCTTCTGCTGCGTTTTACGTTCCGGGGAAAAAAAAAACTGATCGTATAGCGAGCTGATCGGGAAAACCGCGAATTGAAGCAGGCAGGCTGAACGCCGGTGTTACCAGATTTTACGAATTCGTCGCAAATTGGCAAGCAAACCGTTTCAATGTCACACCCTTTCCGTTGTGGCCGATTCTGGCAGCTTCTTGTTTGTCTCTTTAGAGGACAAAGCAAGGCAGTGATGTCAGATGGGTCGTCGACTTGGAGACATCAAGATCGGATAGAGATATGTGGAATGGAATCCCTGTTGGCCTGCTTTAGTTCCCAAAAATTTTCAATCTAAACTATTACATCGAATCTTGCGGCATATATATGGAGTATTAAATATAGACGAAAAAAAACTAATTGCACAGTTTGGTTGGAAATCACGAGACGAATGTTTTAAGACTAATTAGTCCATGATTAGCCATAAGTGCTACAGTAACTAACATTCGCTAATGATGAAATAATTAGGCTTAATAAATTCGTCTCACAGTTTCTAGCTGAGCTATGTAATTAGTTTTTTTTATTAATATCCAAAAACCCCTTCCGACATCTCTAAAACATCCGATGTGATGTCCAAATATTTTTATTTCATTAACTAAACACAGCCAGAGCAGAGCAGACAAGTGAGGAAGGGCCGCCATCGCTGAGACGTCGTACGTCGTAGAATACGCTACATGTACTGCCAGCTGTGCAAAACACAGTCTGTGCCTCTGCTGTGCTGCGTACACGGCGGCGGAGAACCGCATAGCACTTACAACCGCATAGCACTTTCTTTTTGATCAGCGATACACAGACTGAAAGCCAAAAAGTACAAATTATAATAAAAATACTATTCCATCTAATTTATTGGGAGAAAAAACACTGTTTCAGCTAAAAAATAATTCAAAAAGTACGAATTATAAGAGAAACGAACAGGACCATTGTGGAAACCTTCATGCAGCTACCAAGAAAAAGATGAGTAATCCTCTGTCTGAAATTTCATGTTTAGTCAAGAAAAGCAATGCAATTTCGCTTTGAAAATTGAAATTTCAGGTTACCATATTCCACCGTCCTTCAATGTTGCGTACAAATGGCTCTTTTGTTCTGCGACTAGTCATCTGAACATTATCTTCAAGACATATAATTGGGAATCTGAACACAGTATAAATGGATATTACTCGAGGAGATATCACTTTGCTTGCGCTTTGACACGCGAGCTATCCTAAAAGTTAAATCTGAGTCATCAGTATATTTTGCTCTCATGTTCCGAATCTGCCATCCGGGTGCAACTTCACGGTCTACTCTCTGGAGGTATGCTATGAGAAAACAGTAATGCCACAATATTTCAGGGAGTAACAGTACGATTAGACACAGCCACACAGGTCTCAAACAAAAACTTAGATAAGTATCTACTGACAAAACTGCAGGGATCGGCCAAACAAGCTCAAACGAACCGGACGATAACAATCAGCTACAGTAGATATTAGTAGTCAGGTGCTGTTTGTTTCAGAGTTTCCAAGCCCGGATCCGTTTCCAGCGTAAATGATTAACATTGTTTTCTGTTTGGGACTGCCAGCCCGTAACCTATTACCGTCTCGTTCGTTTGGCTTATAAACCATATTTTTTTAGTTAATAAATATTATTTTTCTCCCACAATAAATCAGCCAACAGTACTTTCAGTCATAACTTATCAGCCAAAGGACGGTACCTGTTCCTTCACGCGCTGCACCGTGAACCAAACAAAAAGCGGTATCCATTGCACTGGAACTGTTGGCGCTGGGATTTAATTGCATTGCCGTTGACGTTGCCAGTCCTATACCAAACAGCACCTCAATGGTAGTTGCTCCAACAGGTTGTACTGTTCATTTTCTAACAATGCATAATAATAACATCTGGGAATGAATTATTTACAAAGATTCAATATAATCTAATTCTCATTCTCATTCTAAACTTCAGAAAGGGTAACTCCGGCTGGTTGGATCAAAGAGCATGATTGACCTATTTTGTTAAGAACTACTTGTGCAAAGCCTCATCGATCTCCACTTCACCGAGGATGTCCAAGGAACCATAATCATTTTCTGCCTCCAACCGTATACCAGTAGATTATTGTCCCACAATTTCATTAGATGGAAACAGTTCGTTGTTAATTGTGTGAACCTAGCATCTAGGAGTGACTTCAGAGGTCCTTTGCTAGGATGGTCCAGCTAGGAGTGCCTTCAGAGGTCTTTTGCTAGGATGGTCCAGCTTCGGTTGTGTTAGGTCGACCTCCTTCAGCGCTCGATAAAAGCGTGTTGTATATTTGTTTAAACTCTTCTACCTAATACAATGATACGCAAATCTTTTGCGTATTCGAGAAAAAAAAACCGTCAGTATCAGTCTCTTGTTCCCTCTTCATTAGGCTTTGTTCTGTTCAGTGCGCTCTTCTCCCGTGCCTTCTCGAGCACATCACCGAAGAATAGCTCTTTTACGTTTTACTTGATATATAAGCGTACATCTCCTAACAACCAATCTCAAGTTTGACTAGATTCATAGAAAATAATATGAGTATTATTATTTATGTTTCTAAATAGGATTAGTATTATAATATATATTATGATTAATTTAATGGTGCTTATTTGATATCATAAACATTAATATTATATATATATATATATACTCGGTCTAATTTAAATTTAGTTGGCTTTTCAAAGCACGAAATGTGCACTTATTTTGATAAAAAAAAAAGAGTCACCGTTCATAGCCCATAGGTACACTGGTTCGGTTCCGTTCCAGTTGCAGATCGCCTGGAAAAACTGGTGACGAGGGTGGGCCGAGCGGTAACGTGGCGGTGGCGGGAACATGGGGCGGTAGGGGCCGAGAATTGGACGAGTCGGGCTAACATTGCGCCCAACATTGCGCCATCTCAGAAAATTTGCCAGAATTTCCTTTTTTTTAAAAGAAATTTGCCAGAATCACAAAACCTAGCATCACACAGGTTCTGAACTTCTGAAGTCCAGGAGAGATACGTACAAACGTAACAAAGGATAGTAAGAGTTACGCACGCTGACACGAATATGAGTTCTATCAGGTATGTACAAACTTCCATACGCTGGACAGCTCTAGTAGTACACGGACGAGTCGATTACAGAGCACCAAGGAGACCCGTCAGACAGCTCTACGTGCACGTGTGCTGTATATATGCACGCTCCTCCTACCTTGGATGCCAACGTCTCCTTGAACAACTCTTCTCTACGCTGAAAGTCCGATGAGCGGCAGCGTCAACATGCCTGCCGCCTCAGCTCCCTTCCGGCCGTGGGCGGACCTCGACGCCGGCCTCGTCTCCAGCATCGCCGCATGCTGCGCGCTCAGGGAGTACGCCTCCTGCCGCGCCGTCTGCGGCGCGTGGCGCTCGGCGCTCCCGCCGCCGCTCTCGCGGCCCCTCGCCGTGCTCCCCGCCGACGACGCCGCGGGCCACCCCGTGTCGCTCGCGGCCTGCTCCCACCACGCGCGGCGCTGGGCCAGGCTCCTGCACGGCGACCTGCACCGTCCGAGTCCGACCGGGCCGATCGGCGCCGCGGCCGCGGGCTGCCGCTGCGTCGGCGCCTCGCGCGACGGGTGGCTCGCCCTCGTCGCGGGCGACGCCGAGGCGCCCGCGGGGCCGCTGCTGTTCAACCCGTTCACGGGCGAGGAGATCCCGCTGGACCCGGAGCTTTACGAGCCCGCGCACGAGCGGGCGCCCAAGATCGTCTTCTCGCCGAACCCCACGCCGCTCGACTTCACCGCGGTGAGCCTGTGCCGCCCCAACAGGGTCGCCGTGCAGAGGACGTCCGACGGCTGGTCGCACATCGAGGACACGGGCCCACTCCTGGACAGGGACGTCGTCCTAGTCGACGTGGCGTACAGCCACGACGACGGCAAGGTCTACTGCCTGGCGAGGGACGGCCAGGTGCACGTGCTCCACCTCAACCGCCGCCGCCGCTCCTGCCGCCGCCGGGTGCCACCCATGGAGGTGGGGCCACTGCCGAAACTGCCCCTCGGCGCCGTCGTCTTCCCTTCACCGTACGACACAATCTCCAAGTTCACGGACGCCAAGAACCTGGTGCTCTGCGACGGCGTGCTCTACCAGGTATGGAGGCGGCCCACCGGCGCTGGCAACGCGACCGTCGCCGCGCCGACAGGAGGAGTCCGGCGGTGGATCCACATCTTTAAGGGCGACGTCTTCGTTCTCAGGTTCGATCCCGGGAACTGGCCGAGCAGCCCGTGCTGGAGCGTGGTCGAGGCGAAAGATCTGAGAGGTAACGCGCTGTTCGTCGGCATGAACGAAGCAGCGGTGGTGCGCACCGAGGGTGTGAGCGCCAACAGCGTTTACTACTGGGACGGCCCGCGCGGGGGAGGCTACGAGGCTGTGGTCTACAGCTTGGCAACCGGAGCCTCCGTCCGGTGGCCAGCGGCGACGACAGGAGGCGTCTCGAGCCCCGTGTGGTACTTCTTGCCGGCCGGCGAGACCCAGCGTGAGGAACCGGAAGCAACTGAGGTCGAAGCCACGTCTGGGGAAGCAACTACACCCGAACTTGACGAGGAGGAGTTGGATCATAGTGCACATTGTCTCAAGAAAACCATGAGCTTGCTCGGTAGGTTAGATTATTCTCTCGTTTATTGTTCTACTCTCTCTGTGTAGAGAGGGAGAGCTACATCGATGTCTTTTGTTTAATATTTTGCATTAAGAGAAACGGCTCAATTCCAAATTTCCAATAGGAATTTG